ACACTTCCTCACTACGATTTTTACACCTCAGTTACTATCAACCTGCTTTAGCCCATATGTCGAACGGTTTACCGGGATGTGACTTCTACTGTATATCTTAGCTTATTGGAACCGTAGGCGGGACTTGAGTAAATGATGCAAACCCCACAGGTATAATAGACCCCAGTTATTACGAAAGTTTACCAATTCATAGGCATTGCTCTTATCATATTTCCACTACACGCCATCAAAATTTTCGAGCGTCTATCCTTAAAGCACAGCTGTTAGATTCAGCTTCGTGGAATATTGTTTTTACGATTCAGTTCTTTGTTCCAACATCTATACGGAAGGAAGATCGGCACTCAGCGAAATATTCGGCGCTTGATAGGTGGTCTATTCTCATTCATGATTGCTTCTGTACATTTATTGATCTAATAGTTTCATTTGTTCGAAAAACTGGATTGCTTGACTACCTGCTGGGTGGAGTCGTGTTTGTGGCAGTTGCTCTATTGGTCACCTAGGTAATCTGATGACTTCAAAAAAAATAACGAGCGTAGTACAAATGAGACAACTCAAAGTTGACTACGCATAGAAATCATAGGTTAAGCTCATATGCATGTGAAAAAACCCTCTCGTTTAGGTTTCTTGTTTGGATCTACTTCATACAGGCGGCTTGAACCTCACCCTTGTGTTGCACTGTAATGTTGGGAGCTTGTATCATTGAATGCATTCGAGAACCTTTGATCGCTGCACAAAGTGCACATTTTACTCCGAGAGCGATCAGGTTTCCGATGAATCAATCACCTTTAATCATCGCTGTTTTATTCATTGTTGTTGTCTGAAAAGAACGGTTGATTATATCGAACCCAGAATGGTTCATAGACACTCTTTGCCACGTATTCCTTCTTGTAACATCCAACGCTCTTTACAGTTCGGTTCAAATTGTTTGGACTCAAGGGCATAGTTCAGTTCAGTTGGTTGCATTCAATGTTTTTAGAAATTGCCTCATCTGGTTGTTAGCTGCCCCTTTCTGATCACCCCTTCGAAGGTGCAATAGAAAATAACAATTGATTAAAGGTAGTAGATATTAGAAAACTGTGACAAACATGGAAAGAACGAGATAAGCATTCCACTATCTACAACAGTGAGTAGTAACAGCAGAGTTCTAGAACCATCGATTATGTGGCACTTGCTGAAATCAATCATATATCTTCACTGTGGTCCAATCATAGTTCATTCCACTGGTCGAACTTTTCGGATCATCCTGCTAGACGATACGTTTCACCAGTCGCAGTGTTCCAACTGATATCCGATCAAACAAGGAATGCAGATAGTGAGATTCTCGCTGGTGGGATGCACGGAAAATATGTCCCGGAAATAAAAGCCAATGGAACTCAAAAATGTGGGTCTGGATTATGAAATATGGAAACGTGTTTGAGGTGTGTGAACATGTAGTTGTAATCTTTGGTGCTCAAATACCTATACCTATAACTTTTGGGGAATGAACCAGCCCTCCCGTTTCTTATTGTTTAATAACTACTAGCTTTTCAACTCTGACAGCTTGAGCACAGTGTTTAATGGTTGTATGTAAACGCGAATGCGTCATATGATTGAAGTCCTAATCGATGCGGGAACTTTTTGATTAAAACAT